ACTCGAACTCGATATCGGGTCGAGCCATTGGCCTTGACTTGAGCTCGATCCTGACTCGGAGTCTTGATATTCGGGGTGGGTGTTGGTCGGTCTGTGCATCTCCGATAACCTTTTACCTCGTGGTTCGATTTGGTCATGGGCCCGATAATGATACCGAACTGATCCTTGATCGGATTTGGAGCTCGAATCCTGAAGCCCTTTCTTCGGACCTCGACCTGACCTTACGTAGATACCTTTCGATCGAAGTATTGCCGTCTCGATCAGTCCATACGACTGACTCAATCGGTTCTAATCGTAAACACGCCTCAACCGAAATCTTGGTGAAAACTGACAAGTATGAGTACAAGGACTTGTTGAATGTTCTTTTAAAAAAAAAAAAAGTTACAGACAATGATAGAGTAAGAATTATATAGTTTTACCGATTATAGCGAGCTATTTATCTATTTTTTCAGGTTATCGCATCATACTTAATATCAAGGGTTACATATCAACTTAGCATGACAAGTACATATAGATTACTAAGGTTAGTGGGTGACAGGCTTTATATGTACTTATGACGGTATGAGAGTCAACCGCACTCCCAATTAGTTAACTGAATTGTTAGTTAATATCATTTAAATTTTGCTTTTTCACTATCTCAGAGTTAGAAATCACATCATTACATGCAACCTTTTCAATTTCTGTTGTCAGCTATACCCAAAATTTCCTACAAACAAGTACGCGTGGATGTTGAACACTATGCCAACTTTCTTGACGTCTTTTAATATTTTTTCGGGTCAATATTTTACGCCATAATTCTTCTGAAGTAATTCATTAATCCACTCCCCACAATGCAACAGTAGCTATTACCAATATTCTCAACCACAGGGGCAAATTTACGTCGATGAATTCGATAATTGGAAAGACTATGTATTAGAATATCTTTTCCTGCAAAAAACATAATAATTAGGTGTAGTTAAGTTAGATTACATGCTATAAAATTATATTCTTTACACTATTAGTGTATATAAATTAAATCCTATTAAATCCTAGAATTATTTATACATTATGAGCTTGTAATTCACTCATATAAGACATCATTTTCCTAATTAAATAGGCAGGGATTAACCTAGCTAACTTTTCCGCTTGTGTTTCTATTAAGAAAAAGGCACAAAAATTGAAGGCATCTTTTGTTGTCTTCTGAATTTTATTGAATAATGAACCTGTAGGATGATCAGTTATCCTAGGTACAATAATCACCATAGATGATTCTTAGATCAGGATAATAATATAATACACATTACTCTAACAAATACGGTAATATAATAAAATATGTACACATTTTATATGATTGGAGCATAATTCTTTAGTATGAAATATTCTTGGTGCTTTGTCTATCATATAATGTTGTTTTGTTAAGTTCCGGCATTTGCAAAGACTGCTCTACTTCACTGCCTTGACTTATCAAAGCAGCCACAGATCCTACAAAAGCTGCATTCATATACGTCGTGGGTTCAGAATGAGAGTAATCTGATCTCGAATCAACAAACTGGTCGCCGGAATTTGGCCCGCCGACGATTGCGCCGACATGTATATTTGGATTGGGATTGTTAGAATTATACCATGAGCTATAGCCATCGTTGCATCCCACCCTAGATGGATGGTTATAAATTGAAGGGATAGATGAAGCTCTGTGGTGGAGCTGTGTTGGGTATTTGCTCCCAAAACCAACCATATTTGACATCTTGAGTGGATTGTTACCAAGTATGTAGTCTACCTGAAAAACCAAATAGTTTGATTTTATGCATTTATACCATCCGGTTACTTAAAAGATATAATATTTCTTTCGTTTCTATTTGTGTGAATCTTTTTGGACTATAAGGATGAAATTAATTAATTTTTGGTGTAAATTCGGACATAGAATTTTTAAAATTTTAAAATAAAATTTACATATTTTAAAAACTACATAAAAAGTATCGTAAGTCACAACAGTTAATATATAATTTAAAATATTTAAAAGAAAATCTTATTTGATTCTCCAAATAGTAATTTACAAAAAATGAAACTGAGCAATAATAACATGAACTCTATTTTAATAAGCAATGATTGGAGACCTATAATATTGGTTAATGATTAATCTATTATAGCAAGTTAAATAATGATGTAATAATTCATTATACTTGACCTGTGATTTTGCAAAGGCTTTGATATTGGAGGTGGAAAAAGTAACCGAACCACATGTAACTCCCCCTTTTCCAGCTGTTTCAAGGACTTTAGAGTACATAAAAAGTACCATGGTAGCACCAGTAACATATTGCAAATTGCTACTGTCTCTAGTATATAAAAGTCCACCTGCAAATTATACCATTGTAGCAGAAAGTATTAGATTTGTGTAAAATTCTTCAAAATTAATATCAAGTTTTTTTTTTGAGAAAAAAGAGTATGATTTTTAACTTTGAATTACCAGGGGTTGTCTTAATCTGTATAGAGGTACTCCCTGGCATCAATGCACAAATAAATGCATCAGCATCTTTCTTGAACTTTTCCAGATTGCTTTTCCCATTGAGGAATTCCTGGTGATAATCAAGAATGGAAATTTGCACTCATTGACTGTCAAATTTCAGTCCAATTCTGTTGAACTACTCATAGAAAGACTCAATTCATCAAATTATCAATATAATTTAACTTTTGATAGCAAGTTAATTACCATTTTGCCAGGTTATAAATTAATGTTTATCATAAAAATTTAGTAATTATAATTACCTTAAAAATGACTATCTGATTGAGTAAATATTTTTTATATTGTATCTGCATAGTATTGATCTATCTGATTCAGAAGGGAAGAACTTGTATCAGTATCTCAATTTCAATTCAAACATGGTTTTGATTCCCTAGCTCCATATTGTAAGAATGATTTATCATCCGAATAGAGGAAAAAACGGAGTCCTTATATAAAGATGCATTGAAAAAGGGCAAATGTATAGAACCTTTCAGCGAGATAATACTTTTTCAACTCTCTCAAAATGGAATCTATCCCAAATATATATGCTGAAACTCTTAAAAATATAATGTTAAATTAATTGCGTGCCATGTTGCATAGTGATAAAAAGGATTAACCTTAGCTAGTAAAGTTTGAGCTCCAGCAAATTTGTTATCCCAACTAAATTCAGAGGCAACCTGACTCCAGCCTTGATTGCTTGAAGCATAGTTTAAATAGTTATTTCCTCCACCTGCCTTGTATAGCCAAGCAGCAGCCCACAGCAATTCATCCTTTGAAAATTATTGAAAACACTAATTAAAATTATGATTGGAAAAAAGAACTAATTATGCCTAAATTATTGAAATTAATTACCTGATAACCTGAGTAAGAGCAGTAGAAAGGGCAAGAAGCTTGATAAGATCCTCTATACTTGTCAGCAAACGCAAATAGCTGTGTACAGAAAGAGGAAACGAGAATTTTGAGAGTCAAATGGGTGCAGTCCAAAGTTTGCTTGTGTCATGGATGAGTGAGTCAGGCTACAAAAATGGATCGCAACCCAACTCGTCCAACTCATAGTTATTATTCATTTATTTGTTTCTTTTTTTTATTTTAAAATTAAATTGATAAAAGCCTTTTCTTTTACATATTATGACTATATCAAACTAATCAATTTAGGCTACATATTCAACCCAAATTGACACAAACTTTTAAATGGGCTAGCTTGAGTTATATGCCCAAAGTGACCCTCCAATAAATATAGAGCAAAGATCACTTTTAGATCGCGGCCGAAACTATTTACATCTGATAGCTACAAAAATGTATAAAATTTGTATATTTTATTTATATATATTTCGGCTATTATTTTAAGCGCGGCTATACCATGTCATTTTCCCATAAATATATGCCCAATACATACCGCCCAAGTATGTGCAGCTTATAATTTTTATGGGCCAAATTTGACACTTAGAACGAAAATTGAATAGATGAAGATGGACAGGGCAAAAATAGGAGATAATTACTAGTACTTGGTAGAAATCAAAGTAATCTAAAGTGATTAGAGTTTCCTTACAGATTTTGATCTTCGTAACAATTTGGTAGAATAGTTGGAATCTATTTTCCGGAAAACAATTGATGCTGAGGCAAAAGCAGCTGCTACTTCAGCTGCAACCTCGGATCCTGGAGAATTGGAAGTGATCTTGTATAGTGTTCGAGGAGTATCCATATCTTCAGGTCGTTCCCAACACTGGTGATCTACATTTCCATCTCCAACCTGTGCACATAACATTTTTGTACATATAAATTACATAATTAAATCCATATTTCTAATTTCAGATATAATGAAGATTATAATCATTGCAGACCAAAACTAATAAATAAATGTGTCTCTTCTCTGATAGCTTAATTTTTATACGAGGTAATTGATCGTCTAACAAATAATTCAATATGGTATTGTAGCAGACAAATGTCATAGATTCAAGTCTCACTCTCATTGTCATCCGTTATGGGGGAAAAAAATTCCGCATGCTTAGACCAAGAAAAAGAGTTAGACATGCATGTGAGGGTATTCTTAATTCGACAATAACCATGCTATATATGTTCCAGCACAAGGGAGTGAGATGAATGTGGTCCCTCTTGTTGAAATTGTCAAAAGTCCCACATCGGTGGATGACAATTTTGAATGAGAATTTCACCCTA